AGAGCAAAAATAAACTGATATATAGCACCGATGTGGCGAAATGACTGCAATTCTCGTGAAGTCAACAGTCGGACCCTGCTGATCTGAGCTGTTGTAGCTGTGGTACTAAATGGTCCGGACTGCCAATGACAGACAGCGACAGACAGTTTTCGGTGTGCGACGAGGAAACAAGGACCACTTACATGAGAGTTAGAGACTAAATGCTCCCGACTGACTTCCAGGGAAACTCGTGCTGCACCTGAGTCCTGTCCGAGTATGTGGTAGTCAAGGGGTGGACACCGCTGTGGCGTATCCGTGATGATTCAACCTGACTTGACGATAGTGATGATGGCATCTATCCCCGCTGACCCGAGTTTCTTTGACGACCAACAATTGGTTCTCCAGCAACAATGGTGTACGTCGGATTTATATCCGTTATGGATGTTCCATCTCCAAAGCAGGACGGCTTGCCAATGGCTGGCGACCAGTTCGGATTCGGACGTCCCTACGGAATCGAAACTCGAGATGTCTGGATGATAGGAAAGAAAAATAACAACAACTCGTTCCTCTCATCCGTCGTCGCGCTGGAAATTCGATATCGATATAATTTTATTCGACTTTGACAGTCCCTCGAATCGTCAATCAATTGTTTGTCTTGTGGGTGCGATCGAATGCAGAACGCACTTTTGTCTTACCATCGCTTTGGGCAGCATCAAAAGCATCAGTAGGGCTGTTCTGGTAGCCAAAGATCAACCTTCCAACAGCCAGATTGCCACATATTATAGGCTGGTCAAAAGCCATTTAGGCACCTTTGCCGTCCTGTTGTTCTCAGCTCGGTTCGCACCTGGGTATTCATACATAGGCTGATGGGCAGCTCATTTCGGCTTCAAACAATTGCGAGCTACTGCCGGCTCGAAGTTGTTAAGCCGCTAGGTACATCCGTTACTGGTATGTAGTACCTAGATGGTTGTCTGATCTCTCCCACCTATCTCCGTCTCGGACAAACAAGCTAACCCGGCAACCAACCCCGCCCGCTGCAAATCATTAGTCTCAACAATCGACAACCGGTAGGTAGGTCGATTCAACGCTGGATCCAATGGGGGAATAGACCTGGTTGACTGGGCATACGGGAGCGAACATGAAGGTTGGCGCTCTGAGAAACCTTATGTGGATCGAAGCAGGCGGATTGTCCATCTTCAAGTCCAAGGAGGAACGCTACGAGTCAGATGGCTGTGATCTACCATCCGCTAAGAACTACACTACAGAAAACATCGTATCCGGGGGAGGGGGGATGGCGTATGGGTCGAATCTTGTGTCTGAACGATTTCACGCCTCATCCGGCCTGGAACTTGACAACTGTCAATCGAATCTGGTGTCAGGCAGTTGGTAGTCATCATAGTAAGTGGAGAGAATTTCCTTGGTGCACAAAACACAAGTTTCATCCCGCCATTGCTTTCATTCAGGACAAAGGAGAAAAAATGATGCTTCCAGATATGCGGAGACGTTTGGTGTGATATTTTACAAGTTCCCACAGCGGCTGGATGGTGAGGTATCTCAGCGGCGGTGAATACTTCCCTTTCCATCTGTACACACATACCTGGAGACTATGCAGCGAAGCCCCTCATGCTGACTGTTTCATACTCCGTTCTTTGTCCGTCCCAGAGTCTATAACCCTCTATTACTCTATAGTGGTTTTCTCTTCGGGCGCCTGGAGACGCGACATCATGCTTATGATACAGCGGGTCAATTTCTCGAATCGTTCCCTTCACGACGCCCTGAACATTGTGTGAAGCCCAGCCTCCGTAAATGTGCAAATTAAAGTGTTTAGGTCTAGTGAAATTGGTCAATGTTGTATACGACGTGTTGGGGAAATGACGGGAAATACGTACGAACTTGGCCATGAGGGCAACCATGAGATCGAAAAGACCAATGGCTTCGACGAAGGCAAAACCCAGAATGGCGTAGGAGAAAAGCTGGCCACGGAGAGCAGGGTTGCGAGCAACACCGTTAAGGAGAGCAGCGAAGACAAGACCAATACCAATACCGGCACCGGTCAGACCAATGGCGGCGGAACCCATACCCAAGTTCTTGGAAACCTCAACCATGGCTTGGGCAATCTCGGAGGAGTAGGCACGTCGTTGGAAGGCTTGGCGGGTGGTGGCGCTCAGGATCTTGGAAACCTGCTGGCGCTTAGCAGCCTGGAAGGGAGTGGCATTGCCTATGAGGTAACATGGTCAGATAATATTTCTTTTGCATTGGGGCTGGTCGTCAATTCCAAGTGAGTGGCCGTGGCCAATTGGCTGTTTTGCGGGATAAAAAAACATACTGGTGATGGTGCGCTTAGCAGCAGTGGTGGCGAAAGAGGCCCGGACGGCAGGGCGAGCGACCTTGCTGCCGATAGAGGCAACAGCGCGGGTGGCGACGATGCGAGCGGAGGCCATGGTGATGGATGTGGATATGTGGATAGGTATGGAGGGGAGAGACCTCGAGTATGAAGGTGAGCTGATGAAGGGATAAGAGCTTGAGGGAAAAAGAGGAGAGCTTGGTGATGGTGCGGTGGACGGGAAGAAAACTTTCACGGAGCTCCAGGAAAATGACAGAATAATTGTTCCGGGGCAGGGCATTGGCCACCAGCTGTTATGGGCACCGTGCCTGATCAGTGGGTCCTGAACTGTACAAAGTATGGCATGGAACGAAATTCACACCAGCTACAGCGCCGAGGGGAGGTATAGGTTTTTATACGCTAAACTACAATAGGTACCATTTGGGAGGACGGACCGGTAACTGCTGAGGGTTACTTACAGTGTGTGATGTACAGTGATGTACCGCACACTACGAAGTACCTACATGTTGTGTACTGAGGTACCTGACTAGGTACCTACAGTATAGCTACAAACTGTCGTGTACAGACGTACAGACGTACCGACAGAGGTTCTCGGTACTAGTAAGTAAGTGAGATGTACCTACCCAGGTACCTTAGGTACCTGACTGTTCGGACGGTGGAGGCTACCCAAAATAGACAAGGCTGTCATAGGTACCGGTAGGTATTTGATTGCTGATTTGCTACGGATCCGTACTCAGTTCATACAGGGAGATCGGGATATATCGGCTGCAGCGCTTGTCCGAGATTGTTTGGCCCCCAATTGCAGTGTTTATTTCTCTCAACCAAAAACAAGACAGAAGATAACAGAAAGAGTTGCTGCATTTCTTCTTGGCCTACTTAGGAGAAAGGAACAGGTGTGCATTGGCAGCCAACTTATTAACATGTCTGTGTCAGGAAAATCGAGGGCCATAAGTTGCAAACATGTCCATGATGGCGGCACAACCAGAAGCAACAAGAAAAGAGTGGAAGTACCTACTTCGTACTTACGTGTGAGTTAAGCCCCCACAAACTAGGTAAACTAAACTCTCCACTTGGCGTTGTCCCGTGGTATCTACACTACGCTATTACTGGTGCTGCAAGAGCTCATGACGACGATGAATCCATTAGTGGGGCTTCTCGGAAGAGGCGGGAATGAGGGCGGAAGCGTCGAGGAAAATACCTATAAAGAGAGTGTGTATCCTCAAGACGAAGAAGGTAGGTAACAATAGGTAGGTAGACCGTTACCTGATGACTACCTACGGATTATTGCGTCTCAATACGTTCTCACACAAGCCATGGGCCAACGCCGCTCAGTCAGCCGTGCAGGCTTTGCTATGTGGATTTTAACAGTATTTGTTGGGCTAGGTAGGTATTTCCGGAACGACTGAACCAATGAGAACTCGACACTTCCTCCTTTGGCCTGACCAATGTTCATGTCAGCCCCTCTACCCAAAGAACCAGCGTGGCCAGAGACGCTCAGTTGTTCCAGACGATAGGGGATCTGATCGAATCGTATTGTACTAGGTATAGTTTGTGTAGGTATGGTTGCTAGGCGCTTGAAGCGACCAATCTGACAGAATTTGCTTCTTAAGTACCTACATTCATTCTACCTAAGGGAAGGGAGAAAGGAGTTTTCTATACAACCGTGATCCAGGATCGAATCCCGGTCGAAATATACCTACGCGAGAGAAGTACCTAACCTACCCATCCTTGCATATGCCTCAATTACCGACCTACCACGACTTAGAGGTTCAGCCGGCGAAGAAGGACAAGATTTTCATACGAGGCAAGTTCAAAATCACTGGCATTAGCACTGAACGGCTTGGTAGCGTCGGTATTCTCAGCCTTTTTTTTTGTCCTGCGTTGCATCATCATGAAAAAAATTTTATGTATTGTGTATTGTGGTAATGAGTGACCTGGGATGACGGTGAGATCTGACTGTGATACGATGTACGTCCGTACCTACACGACTGTACGAAGTAACTGTAGGTAGGGCACCTGGATGAGATACCTATAAAACTCATGCGTCGCTATACTGGTGATATAGTGGAACTTAGCAGTCTAACCGGCGCATCCGTTTTCGTCCCAAATCGCTCTTCCGGACCGTCGGTGTTTCACACTGGCTCTTCGCCGTCAACAATCTCGATCTCAACATCAACAATCACCTACTGAAGGTTAGATAAGGTTATGTATGTACTTCATGTAAGGTCCATAGTGCAGAAAGCCTTGGCTGAACGAGATGTACCTACTGTAACGCGTAGCACTGCGTAAGGCGCGCGCCGATTAGGTACAGCACGGCACAGTACATACGTGAACTTGGGTTCAAGCGACCGATCTCGAACGAACGAAGGTACAATCTGCATGCAATGCGATATACCTAAACGACCTGGCCCTTGATCCGTTCAGGTTACCTACCTTGGGTAAGTAATCAGCAGCAAAACCAAGCAAAAAAAGCCGAAAGGCATTCACACACCAAGCTTGATACGAAGTACTCGTTGCGTACATTCATTGATAAAACACTTACCGTACAGCCCCGAATCACAAAACCGCAAAGCAAAAAGCAAAAATGTAAATCAAAACCCACCCCTTTCCCCTCCAAAAAAATAAAAAATAAAAAATAAAATAAAATAAAATAAAACAGAGAGAAAAAATAAATCATCGACCAGCACGGGACTCGAACCCGCAATCTTTGCCAAATCCCGCTCATAACGAACGCCGGAAAGCAACGCCTTACCATTAGGCCAACCAGCCAATTTGGAGATGAGGGGTAGGGGTGCAAATTGATGTCATAATTGCTCGGTTGTTTTTTTTTTCGGTGGGGCCCCGGTGCGCATTTGGTACTTATGGTACGAAATACACACGTGGTCGAGGTTATTTCATACACTACGACGCTAGGTAGGTTTTTGATAGGCTGGCTGGCTGGCTGGATGGGATTGATTGATTGATTGAATGATTGATATCCGATCGCAAGTTATTACAAGACGAGGCAGATGTGTATGTAGCCTGTAGTGTACGGGATCGGTATGAATCCGTATGGACCAGGGTCGTATGCATGCAGAGCAGCATTCGCGATGGGCTCGCGGGATTTTACCACCACGACATCTTTTATACCCATCCTCCCGTCTAGTTTACCAGCAGTAAATTGGCAATGCCCAGCATTCCTTCGTTGTTGTATTAGTGCATTGTAGCTAGATAGATAGATATACATATAATATATTCCGTGCCCCAGACGCCTCGCTTCCCGTTCCATAGGTAAGGTATCAAGTCCCGAAAGACAGTCATGCCCAGATAGCCTTCGTCCTCGTAAAAAGTAGACATTATTTCATCCCTCCGAGTCATTATCGTCAACCTTCTTGATCGCATATCCCTCCACGAACCCACGGGGATCACAGGCCTTAGCAAGCCCAATATTATTAGCCCGCGCCCAGGCGCGGACGGCGGCCTTGTCAATCCTGACCCGGTGCACAAGTGGAATCCTCACCTCTTTGTCTTCCTTCTCCTTTCCCTGCGTATTAGCATCCGCAATCCCGTCCGTCTCGCCATGCCGCGCATATTTCGGCGGTCCAAGCCCTGCTTCTTCGACAACCCCCATCTCTCGGAGAACAGCAAGACAGTCCTCTGCAACAATCCACGTATCACGAGAGCACTGCTCCACGTCGACAACAATGCACTCTTCCTCCCCCGCTTTCTCTTTCTCTTTCCCCTTTTCCTTTCCCTTTCCCTTCTCCTTTTCCTTCTCCATTTCCCTTGTTGTTGGCCTGGCAGTATGAGCGGAATCAGAAGACGCTTTCGGGAGATCCAACTCGAGGATCCACCGGACGACTTCACCCGCCCAAAACCGCTTGTACCCCTTGCGTCCCAGCTCCGAGATGGGTTTCTCCGGCCCTCCCAGGATACCCTCCCGTCTTGAAATCTCATAAGAGACGCCCATAAGTAACGCGCCGAGCCCTTTCTGCTGCCATGGCGGGAAAACCAAAATACACGCTAGATTATTATTATCCCAGGACATTTTCTCTTTCGAGAAAAAGCCGACTATTTGCGGTCTAGAGGTGGAAGGGCAGGATTGCGGATTCGGCTGGACAAGTGTCGAACTCTCGGATTTAGAGGCTGAGTTGGCCTGTGTAAGCGCTGATGTTTGGATTTCGCAGGGCGGAGGCGTATAGACTAGCAGGAAGTAGTTGAACCCAGTAACGTCGAAGAACACAGACTTGTTATCTAGGAAGAGTTTTGCGAACAGGGAGAGGTTCTGACAGAAGAGCTGACTGACAATTAGTATATGAAGCCAAGGTTACATAAGAGTAGTGATAACATACTCCCTCACTGTCACCATCTACTTCCCAGACGCTCCACTCCCCGCTGTTGAGTGCGGCTTCATCTGTCGTTTGACTACTATCATTGACCCTCTTATATTGCCCTTTCGCCATCCCTGCCGTAGTAGTTGATGTAGAGCTTGGCCTTGGTACGCTTACAGTCGCCGAACGACGCGGGTGTGTATAGACCTTGGTTCCAGGTACATGTCGTTTACTTTCACAGTAACGCACATGCTGACACCATGGCATGATCTCCTTCGAGTACTTGAAACAACATGGACAAATATAGAGCCGGTCGAGCATGGGCGGCGCACGTTTTCCACCGCCAATCTTGGGATTGGCAGCACCAGCATTGGCCGCGACATCGCCTATAACTTCTTTCCCGTAGTATGATGGGTACCAAGCTTTGAAGCAAGTATTTCCGAATACGACTTTATCAATATTACGGTCGGACCGAGGGGTACCCGGAAACTTAGGGGTCTTGGGCTTGTTGGTCGGGTTGTGATTAGGTGTGATGGTGGTGCGAGACAGAGACGCTCGGCTTGAGCCTGCGGCGGCTGGTAAAGGCCGTGTTGAACGTGACGAGGGCTTTTGCGCGGGTCTGTGCTGTTGTGAAGGAGAGGAAGATTGCAGCTTGGGCGGTGGCGGGGAGCAGGAGTGCTGATGGGGGCGGTGAGGCTGCTTCGACTGGGCTACGTGTTTTTTCGTATTATCTGGAGAAGTCGATGCTCGCTGTACATGTGCTATCGGTGCTTCTACTTCATCAGCTTCTTGTGGCTCAATTGTGACTTTATGTCGCGTAGTCCTTGTCTGTTTCGTATTAGTAGCCAAGCCCAGTTCAGCAACTGCAGCGTTCAACGCGTCGCTTTCCCTCCCTCGAGATGTCGGCCGTGATATTTCGGCGTCATGTAAATTTTCAATGGTGTTGGCGCGCACTCGGCCACTTCTTAATTGATAATCTGCTGACTCTGCACCAGTGCTGGTATCTGGGTGCTGACGAGTTGATCGACGCGTAGTTCCGTGGGGTAGGGGGGGTTCTAGGCCGGCATCATGGTACTTGCGCTTCTGGGGTGCCATGCCGCCCAATTATAGACAGCTCTGACAATTGGAGATGAAAGTTGTACCAAGATATATATGACTTCAAACATTTTACATTTGTAGACTTTGCAAAACGCCCAAGTCACTTCTCCGGGTCTGCTAACCTACTAACTCGCTGCTGCTGTTCACGGTGCTTACGTAAATGAACCTGTCGTCTGCCGGTTCGCTCTGGCTTTTGCACGTGACATAGCCGGGTAAAGGGTACCTACCTAAGGTAATTATCCTTAGGTACGGACGTACGTACGTACAGAGTAAACATACCTCATAATGTACGGATTACGTCCGTAGGTATGTGCTTAACATAAACAAGATACTAGAAGTAACTACTAGTACGACCTCATATTTGACACGATGCTGGTGGTAAATAGATTGTAAAATGTAAAATCCCTTTATGTTACATACCTAAAAGTATATACTGTATGCATAAGGACTTACATGATGTGAATGCGTTGAAATAGAGTGTTAAAGATTATCGACAACAATTCAGATTCCTGGTTGCTCGATACTACATACCCAGGTAGTTAGTAATAGGTGGAGATAACGTGAGTCAGAGGCGAAGATGGTGTAGGTACATGTACACACACGTACATTATGCACGAGCTTTAACGTACGAAATACAGCGACCAGCAACACATTTTTTGAAAACCAAAACAGTACATTTGTAGTAGAATGATGAATGCCGAGCAGATGTCTACTTAGCCAGCGAAGAGAGGTGTGGAATGCCGAATTTTGCTGAATGAAGTTACCCGCACTCCTACCCCCATGCTATGAGAATAGAATTTGCCGTATCTAATACAAGGGTGTTTGATGGTGTATGTATGCATGACTGGCTGACCTTTGATCATTTTGTTGACTACTAGCCTTCATTGCAGCGCAGCTTTGAGCCTTATGCCGTGGCGTTCTGACCAATATGTCCCCTGGGGCACGTCATAGGCCACGCCACATCGAAGGACCCAGCAGCGTTTCAAAAAAAAAAACATGGGTTTCCATATTTATATGCCCTCAAAATCACCACCGAGATCATCTTCATCCAAGTCACCCTCTTGTATCTCCTTGGCCATCTCTCTTTCGCGTTCACGAGCCTCTTGTGCATTCTTGAGTTCTAGCCGATGCTGGTTCATGGGGAAACGCATTGCCTGTTGGAGAGAATCTTTGTCAATATAGCCCTCCTAGGAAAACAATTGCGGAGACGTACCTTAACACTTTCATCGTGTAGACCGAGACAGGCCCTGATACGATCGTGAAATGCCTCTCCGGGCTCCCGCGTGGCATAGACATCACCGACCTCCTTACTTTTCATGAAGCCGTGCTCTCTATCTAGTGTGGCCTCGATCACACCATCGCGAATTGCCTTGGCGACTATGTATTCGGCACTCTCTTCGCTCCCCAGGTGTAGCCGGATGCATATGTCACGAAGCGAGATTCGGCTGTAGCTCAAACTCATCATACGTATACCAGTCTTTATAACGTTCTGACGTAAACGGAGGATAAGAGTGTAGGTACCGTCGTTACGGAAGATGGCGGCATGTTTAGCAATGGTAGTTTCGAAATCCTCCAAATTACCCACGCGCACTGCTTGCACGAGCAGGAAATACGGACGTAGCGCCTGCTCCATATTGGAAGTACGGAAAGTAGCGCGCTCGGGTATGTCTCCCATCAGGAGCTCGACTACAAGCAAAAGTTTCGTGGCGGTTTGAGCGAAACCAATCGCACAGTTACTCGCTGGTGCTTTTCGGCTAGCCGCAGTCAAATGCTCATGGGCCTCAGTGTACCGCAGCTGGATGGCTCGGATACGACCAAGGTAATACAAAAAGCGCGCAACCTGTGTATTAGCGGCGTTCTCGGGGAATTGGGTATGGGTCACAAGAAGATCCGCCTGTGAGATGTGAGAAGTCATTAGATAGTTTCGCAGCAGCAGAACAATGACAGAAGCCTGCGTGTCGATATCCTTGCGCAATACGGCAGTTCGCAGCGCAGCTAGAAGCATCGGCCGGATCGCGATAAGAGGGGATCGAAGTGATGGAGGAAGCGGCGCGAGCTGTTCACAAAACAGGGAGTAGTAGAAATAGGCCTTGGCGGAAAGCGAGTCCAGTGTTCGCCTGTTGAGAGAGTGTATCCGGTCGGCCAGACTGTTAGAGAACTCAGCCCCCTGTTGGAACTGCTTGGTATCAAACAGATAAACTTGGATAAGGATCGCCAAGAAGATATCAATCTCGGGAATGTTATCCTTCATTTCTTTCTTGCTACCGTTTTTGGGCGTTTTGGAGTCATTATCAATTTCCATATCGGCACCATACTGTCGTCCTAGAGGCGTGTCACTTTTGCCGACGGCAGCAAGAAGCG